TCTTGTACTCCAAGGGGAAGGGGAGAGGGGGATCACCTGCAGATAAGTTTTACTTCTCTGAAGAATCAACTCTCAAACCCACCAATAAAATGGGGACCTGTAAGTTTTCAAAGGTCAACAGTGTACTTGTTACAGCTCTAAAGATGACCAGGAGGTGAGTCTATTTATGTCAGTCCAGAGCTAACAGGTCTCAATCGTCAGGAAAAAGAAAAAGAAAAAAGAAAACACCACCATGTTTCTAGGGGCCTGCCCTAGGGTGCAAGGGTGAAAGGCACCATGCAAGACGTCAGCACTTCCCAAGGAAGTAGTTAGGTAAGCCCAGGAACCATCCGTCCGTGAGGAGTAAGGGAGCATCGACAAGAAAGAGTGTGGGACCAGGTTACAGTGAGAAACAAGAACTCCAGAAGTGAATGGAAAATCAAAGGTTGAGGGGTATGGGGGGACAGGACAGGACAAGACAAGACCGGGACAGGCCTACCCTGAGGAACTTATTTGCTGGATGACACGTGACAGCTGATATCTGAAGACGCCTCTCACCATAGCTGAGGGATAGTGAGTTTAAGAGTACCCTAGGTAGAGAGACAGACAGACACAGACTATTTTCCAGACACTAGGACACAAAACAACAGAAGGAAACAGATGAGCAGAAGTAAGAGCCACAGTTCACTATCCTAAGCAGCTTCTTGCAAAATTGTCTGGATGGTTTCCCCGAAACAAAAGTTACTCAAGAAAACCCCTTTAATCCCAGCACTTGGGGCAAAGGCAGGCTGATCTCTGGAGTTCAAGGCTAGCCTGATCTACCTAATGATTTCCAGACTAGCCAGAGCCACAGTGAGAGGCTACCTCAAAAGAAAATGAACAACACTGGCCACCTACAGAAGCATCTCTCTGTCTCTCCTGGAGATTCAACTATCTTTTCAGTTCAACTACCAGTGCCCTCTGGGGTAGGTGGGGAAAAGATAAGTCAGAAAGCCCAAAGACTGAGGAAAAGCACCCATGGGCCCTTCCTAGAACTCAGTAGGGACCTTTTCACATTAACTTCTGGTGAATCTGTGGGTAAAACGCCCTAATGATTTTTAGGAACTGATAAAATAAATAAATAAATAAAAACCTCATTGGTAAACCCAGGATCTGAACCCACAAAGACAGTGACCTCTGGGGCAAGAGTCCTTAATAATGACACTATGACAAGAAAGTACGGCAAGTGAGGATTTGAAAAACAGATCCTTTCCTTTTATCAGGGCCTCAGACCTTATCTGCTTTAGAACTGGGATGGTGCCAGAGACCGAGGAAGACCAGTAAGAACAGGACAAACCTCATTTCAACACACTAACAATGAACTTTTAGACATGAAGTTTCAGTCATTTGACTGAGATAATATCAAAAAGAAAAAAAAAAATCTTTTAAGTCACCATTTGCCAAAAACCCACGATGTGCCAGGCATATCAAACATAACAGGCACCCACTATGTGCCAGGCACATCAAACATAACAGGCACCCACTATGTGCCAGGCACATCAAACATAACAGGCTCCCAAACCTTGCAGGAAGCCTGGGGGCTGCCTGTTGGAGGAGCCCCTGCCAGAGGATCAGTGAAAAACCCTAGCTATGACCACTGAATGTGAATACAGGTCTGGTAGGCTGGCATCTCCCCCAAATACAGCATCCAGACACCACCACTGAGAGACTGCACAGAGCGGGGACAGGGGTGAAGGTGGGGGTGGGCGGGGTGAGGAACAGGACACCTGACTTCTCCACAGTCTTGTTAATGCCACAGGATTTCCTGGTCCTGCCTCCACTCACTCAGTTCCACTAGACCTTGTACACAGCATTACTGCAATAGGAAGCCTGGTACTGGGTCTGTGGTGGGAGGTGGAGGAGGCTTCTGGTTAATCTCCTAGCTGGTTTACTTTCTCCCAAATTAAACACTTAACCAACGGTGAATTTAGTCAATGATACGGCCTCATCCTTCAGATGTTTCCAGGCTTTCTGTTTCAGCCCAGGTGGAGAGTCTGGATACAGTATTCTACCTTACCCTACAATACCACTCTTGTTCCCATTTATACTGTGATTAAAACACCCTGACAAAAGAAACTTAAAGGAAAAATGTGTTTATATGGCTCACAATTCCAGGTTCCAGTCCATCTTGCAGGGCAGTCAGGACAAGGCTGGAAACAACTGGTCACATCCAGTCAAGAATAAAGACAATGGAATATATGTGAATTTACTCCTGCTTAGCATCTCTCTACACTTACAGAGCCCGGGATCCCATTTAGGGACTGGTACTGCCCACAGCGGGGTGAGTTTTTCCATGTCAGTTAATCTAACTAAGATATCATCCTGAGTAAATGCCCACAGGCCAACCTAACCTTCAGGATCCTCAGGGAGACTCTCCCCAGCTGAGTCTAGACTGTGTTAAGTTGCCGATTAAAACTGACCTCCACAATAACCACACTCTTTCACCTTGGAAGAAAAAATCATCTACAAGAGAGTTCTATGATTTGATTGTGGGCTTAGCTAGCATGTGAGAGGCCCTGGGCTCAATCCCCAGAAAAAGGAAGAGAGAGGAGATTAACTCACTCTAAGCAAAACTTCCAATTTTTCCTGACATTAACTCTAAAACTTCCCAACTCCAGATGGGTATTTGCTAAAAAATATAGGTTGACTAGATTTGTAGTGAAGAATGCAAAGAGTTTTTACAGCCACTTGTAACCATCCAGTTACAAATCACCAAAAAGTAAGGTTGGTGCACACCACCAGCGACCTCCATGAAAACCCAACCAGGACTCAGGACTAACGCCATCAGAAGAGTTTCTTCTCATGACCTTGGTATTTCCCAAGGAAAGTCGTCTCTGCTTTGCTTCAGGACCCAAGCCGACGCCCTTCCCAGTACTTGCTCTGTCTGCTGGTATCCTTCCTCCACTGGCCTTTGACTCACTGAACACTTTCACGTAAACTGCCGACCAGTCGTAAGAGGGAAGAAACCTAAAGCGGAAGGAACCGAGCAACCTAAGCAAGTACGGTCACAGACTCCATTTGCATTTAATTTATGCAACCCTGAAGTATATCAAGATCTTTTCCCCATTTTATAAATAAGGAAACAGGGAGATATAGATACAGATACAGATATAGATATATCACTAGCATCCGTACAGCAAAATGATGGCTGTCTCAAGCCCAGTGACGTCTAACCCTAATAGTCACTCTCCTCACTTCTGAAAGTGTAGACAACACAGCAGGAAGGTCCGTGGGCCACAGATCTCCAGAGAAACCAGGAATGTCAACCACAGGATTGTCTTTCCAACGGGAATGATGAAAAACCTGTCCTTCTATCCAGAAAGCTGAGAACTGGAAGTGGTTAACTGTCTGGGGATCTGTGTTATCTGTCGGGCCAGGCCGCACCAATCTCCTACAACCAGAACCAGAGTGGCTAGTGACCTAAATACCCTTGTAGCCAGAGGCTCCCCTAATCTCCCACCACCAGGACCGGACCAGAGGTGGCTAATAGCCCACGTGACCTCTATGCTATCTGTATGACCAAGACTAGGACAGACCCTTAGGCCCTTAAGCTAGTACACGGAGCATATTTCTAGAACACATCTTCTTAGTTGGTCTGAGTTGGATTTTGGTGTAATTCAGCTTCCTTGTGCTACAGGGATTGTATTGCTCCAGGGAACTTTTTTCCAAACTGTACTGGGCTTAAATACACTGGGAATAAGCCATCCTCCCACCCCACCCCAAAGTCTGATCTGATCTTCACTCCTATCTCTACATGGGGTTTGCTTCCCTGTATGACACTGCAGGGGCCCTCTCAAGCTACCTAAGTTATAGACTGCCATCCTTCCTCTATTTCCTAGTAATCACTTCAGGTGTACCAACGGTTTCACAGTACCAACGGAGCAGTATTAGGAAATTTTTATTTCCTGGTAATCACTTCAGGTGTACCAACAGTTCTCAACAATTCCAGCCTTAGACTGACAACCATTACAATTCCACGAGACCCAAACCCTACACCTCCTCCTTTCGCTTCAGCACAAACACGTCCAGCAGATGAAGTCAGAAACGAACAGGCCCTGAGTGGATGCTGGATTGATTCCTCAGCAAATGCTTGCTTCTACACACACGGTTTTAGCTTCCACAAAAATCATTTAAAATTTTTTATTGTACCAGTTCTTGTTTTCTAAACCTCCCCTTTTAAGGGCACTAGTTCTCAGAGAGAATAAACACACCCTGAGCTTTCCCGGGGACGATGCTCCTGTGAGTATCTACCAGGACAGACAGCTTCCAAGCAGGGTCAGAACATGTTAATACAGTGGGTTCCCAACCTTCCTGATGCTGTGACCCTTTAACACAGTTCCTCATAAAATTATTTGTGTCGTTACTTCATGACTGTACTTTTGCTACTGTTATGAATCATAAAGTAATTATCTGTATTTTCCCATGGTCTTAGCAACCCCTGTGAAAGGTCAGTCAAACACTGAAGTAACACAGCTGGTTACCATCAACAGGACAGGGAGAGCACAGGATGTGGAGTGTTCTGCCATGGTTGGCAGGCTTTACCTGAGCACTCACTCCTGCCATTCTCACATCAGCTACCTCAGCAGCATAAGAACAGCACCAACTCAAACCACAGCTGATAACAAACCATCCGGACACGCAGTTAGGGATACCAAGATGTCTTGGGGCTACTCGAAGCCACCCTGTGAGTGATTCATGGCTACGGTTTTATAAATGAATGAACAGCATCAACAACAAAGTCCAACCCAAACAGTTTCCTTGAAAGAGAATGCGAACATCAACTGCTTTTACCCAAAACAGAATTCTGTGTATGACATCTTGGATGATAATGACGCCATCAAACCCAGGGTTCTTTTGGACACAAAGGTCATCGCGTCTCTCCTTGTTCTGAAAACCTGCTGTGCTGTCAGAGTCCTTCATGTCCGCTTGCCCGGCTCGGCCAAGCGCAGCATAATGGAAGCAGCGTTATTTTTAAGCCTTACCTTGAGATAGGATCCATAATACTTGGTGACGTAGGGACTGTCACACTGGCTCAGCACTGTGATCTCTTGTTGAATGTCCTCTATCTCGTCCTCGGCTTCTTCCAGATCAATGATTTTTATGGCAACCACTTTCTGAGTCCGATTGTCGATGCCTTTGAACACCTCGCCAAAAGAGCCCTTTCCGATTTTCTCTAGCTTGGTAAAAAGCTCTTCTGGGTCTGCTTTCAGGTTCTGCGGGGAAAGAGGGGAGGAGACATCAGTGTTCCCGGAGCCGCAGCTGGTTCATCCTACCTGACCCATGTGCTCACCAGGACCTTGGAAGAACTGTGACAAGGACCAGGCTGCTTCTTACCAAATGTGAAGGTTAAACAAACACCCCACATGCTGGACAAGAGTAATAAAAGCAGGAAAACTAAAAGGTAAAACTATGTGTAACTTTGTATAACAAAAGCAAGACTCATATGCGTACTGGGACACGTCAGTACAGACAATTGGCTGTTTTTAAAACTCTTGGGTTGGCAGCCAGCACAGTGATAGGAGGCCTGCCCAGCATGTATGAGTCCCTGGGTTCAATAGGCAGGGCAGGAAGAGGTATGAGGTTAGTTTGCTTCAAGTATAATTTCTACTTCGTTCTCAAAGCATCTCCAATATGTCCCAACTCCAGACAGGTTAGTTGCTGAAATACAGGTTAATCGGCTATCACGTAACAGGGAGAGGGAAGAGACTCCACAGCCTAATTGTAACAGACGGCTCCAAGCCCAGTAAACACAGCCCTGCTAGCTGTCACTTATAGCTATTCTCCTCAGTGGAGCAACAACCAGATCCCAGGAAGGAGCAAACAGTGACTGTTGTGTTGCCCACAAATGCTGTCATCTTGCAACGACTTTCAGACCACTTAAGGCTGAACAGTGAGTGAACTATACACAGCCCCCATGCCCAAGGAAGGTCAGGACAGCCTGGGGTTCAGCAGGGACCGTCACTGTCAGTGCTACAGACATCTGGAAATAGTCTGAGGGGCTCTGTGTCCTATCAGAAAGGAAAACAAGTGCCTGCCAAGAAGAAAATGCCCACAGTACCCCAAACCTGCTACCCCAAGGACACTAGGAGACCGAAAGCCAATCTTGAGAACACACTTTCCCACAGACCACAGAAAGAAAAGGATGTCCGGCTGATTCTTAAATGTCTATTATTAGGGGCTGGAGAGATGGCTCAGAGGTTAACACCACCAGCTGTTTCTTTAGAGGACCCGGGCTCAATTCCCAGGCACCCACATGGCAGCACACAACTGTCTATAA